AGCAACAGCGGTTCGAGTCCAGCCCGAGCTGAGCAGCCACTGAGCTGCCAACAGGTAGCAGGATGGCTCAGCTAAAAAAAAAAAAAAAAAGAAGAAAGATCACAGCCCCACAGATCCCTGTGAATGCCTAAGTGGACGTAAGTTTGGGCAGCACTGCTCAGTAATACTCTGTATGTCATACAATGGACGGGAGAGCTGGGCTGCAAATTCTGGCAGAGAAACACTGTGACCTCTGATGGAAGAAAGGCCTATGCCAAAGTCTCCCTATGCCGTAAGTCATGACTCTCATTCTCCTCCTTCACTTTCCACTGAGGAACAAGCTCACAGAAGGATGGGGACACCTGCCTAGCAGCCATGTCAGCCCTGGAGACCAGGGCGAGGTTAGATGCTGCGATCATCCTACAGGGAGAATTCATAGCTGAAGGGCAGACAAGTGGGCTCTACTTTCAGGGGAGCATTACAGCTACTACCCCTGAAGTAACCCAGCCCCCGAGCTCTGAAAAGCATCTCCATAACGTGATGGCTTCAGCGAGGACTGCTTCTGTGCACACATCAACACAGTGACAGTCATGCATTCAAAACATTGGCTATATGAGAACTGGAGCTGAGGAGTCACAAGTCACTCAGCAGTGATCAAAGACACAGTTTGAGGGGTTTGTGCTGACAAAGCTAGTTGAGTGGTGTTTGATTTGGGACATATTTACTTTGGAAGATACGCAACAACAGCCCAGCACCAAAGTTCACATTGAAACCCCGCTGATGACCTTGGCTGATTTCATCTCTGCAACACCACTTCTCAGAAGCACAGAGGTGAGTTTGGTTTCTAACATTTCTGCCAATTATAAATTCTTATTTGTAGTTAGAAACGGGTAACTGGTGCATTTCTCTATCAAACTACGTATTCAAAAGCTGGAAAACTTTTTAATTTTTAACCTGCCTATTATAAAATTGTCAGTTACATTATTGGGACAATTGGTGAAATTAAAACAGGAATTGGACTAGGAGAGGATTGTACCTATATTAAATTATTTGAACTGCATAACTGTACTGTGGTGATAAGAATATACTTATTCTTAGGCATTTCCCCCTGAAATATTAGAATGAAAATTTAGAGGGACACAATATAAGTGATCTACTCTCTCAAATGGTTCAGAAAAAAAGGTATATGTGTGTGGCTGTGTGTGCACACACACATACATATGGAGAGAGAGTGAGAGAATGATAAAGCCATTTGTTCTAAAATCTAAAACCTGGTGAATCCGGGAAAGGGTACATACACAGGGATTGTTCTCTATGCCGTTCTTTCAAATTTTCTGTAAGTTTGGAGTTATTTCAACATAAAAGGTTTTTAAAACTTCAGGCAGTTACTTCTCTCCCATTCATTGGCTCTGCTTGGGCCTGGAGATAATGGCCAGGAGGGACAAGGGTGTCCGGGTGTTATGCTCTGATGTGTGACCAAAAAGTCTAACCCCACTCCATGTAATCAGCATGAGAAAGCACCTTATGAAATTCCCAGAAAAACTTTTGAATGATTTAAAAAATAACGCTTTAAAAAATACTGCTTCTCTTCAAAGATTGCAATCTGGAAATTTTTATTTTTGGGGGGAATTTATCAAAGGTATTTTTTATTTATACATAACAACTTTGGCTTAAAAATCAAAGTTAATATATGATAATGACACTTCTTAATTAAAAGACATTATGGATTCATTAAACAAGTACAAAAAGCATTCAGCAAATGTTAACTGAATTATTGCAGTTTTCAAGGATGCAGTGATGTGAGAGACAGGCACTATGCTCTGCAGGGGTTTTGTTTCTGTCACCATTTCAACATAATCACATTAGGAGGTCCTTTTTTTACAGGGGTCTCCATACTTCTTGCTGGCGCTTGAAGAATCAAAGGTCAGCAAACCAATTAGTATGCAATCAGGGTTTACTAGTGATAGATTCTCAGGGAAGAGAACGCACCTAGCCAAGGTGTGGGGGGGTGGCTAGGCCCCCGGTATTAGTGATCTGTTCTTTGGGGAGAGATTAGGGCCGAGGTGAGGAGCAATCTGGATTTAAACACAACCTAGTGATAGTTTTAAAGTATCTTATAATTCTTGTTATATGAAATATCAAAACAACAGGAAGATTTGCCTTTTAGATCCTTAGTTTCAATCCATACAATATATTAAGAGATATTTTCTCCTTTTTCTGATAATAGAATAGTGAAAGTATTTTTGTCTTTTCATCATATAATGCAGGAACAGGGTATAAGAAGCTTCCGAATGTACTATTTGAATACAGGACAAAAACATGAATGTCCTCACCTCTGCCTCCCTATCTGGTCTCACATTCCTTTTCCTGAACTCTTATTTACTCAAGTTGGGTTTTTGTTTTTTTTTAAAGATTTTTATTGGGGAATTATGGGATGGGAAAAGCGCTGGGGAATTGGGGGGAGGGGAAAAGACAAGTTGCTGTCCTTTGGTTCTTCAGTCTAGCTGTGGAGGACATTGCTTCACTGGCCCAAGTTGGCACCATCATTGCGCTCTTCCCGGGTGAGGCACATCAGTCGCCAGCTTCTGGACGGCTGCTCACAGCGGCTGCTGGCCGCTCACGCTGGATGCTGGCTACACATGGTAGCCCATGGCAACCCACTGCAGCAGGGGCTGCAGCCTATGCCATCGCCAGCGACGCATGGCAGCCCAGCTCCTGTTGATCAGCATCTTAGCTGTGGAGGG